AAATTAAAGAACAAAAAAAGGTTATTTGCTGTATTAAATGCATGCACTATCTATAAAGCTGTAGATGAGTTTATGCCAAGGAAGCAAAATTGGTGAAGAGAATAATTCTGTAATTGGGGAAAAAATGGTGAAATGAAGTTGAAGTTGCAATGATGTGCTGGATTGAAGAAAATGCTCTGTTTTCTTGCTGCTCACAGCATGTGCTCCGTGAAGAGATATTGATTTGCATGGTCAGGTACACCAGTGAACGTGTGAGGAGCACCTTGTGACAAAAATGCCTTCTGGGCCAGTAAATCTGGGCTCAGCAGTCTGTTGGATGGGGTGTGGAGGAGCAGAAAATGGCGTTGTGGCTCTCAGAGATGAGATTCTGCCCAGCGAAGTTATGCACTAGCAAAGCCAAAACCCGTATCAGGATTTTCATCAGGATATATCATGTGCTCATTTTTTCTATACCCTGGTTGATGTGCCGTAACAAGAACACCAATAAGAATGGTGGAAGAAAAAAATCAGGCTATTCATAAGAGTGCTGCTCAGGCAGTGCCATCTGAGAGCTGCGAGCACGAGAGCTCTGTGCCAGGATTTATGGGCTGTTCCGCACTCTGTTATTGTTTTGCGCCTTTTTTTGCAAAGCACAGTGACCATAAATTGGCTCAAAGCATCCAGATCTTATTGCTGTATCTGCTGTCAAGTTTTAATTTTGGATCTTGGTCGTGTTGTGTTTTCCAGCTTTTTCAAAGACTTTTTGGAGGACGTAGGGAAGTAATAAAAATATCCCGGTGAAGAGGAGTCCCAGTAAAGGGCAGCATGGATGGCACAAAGGAAGGAGACCACTTCTTTTAGAAACATAGACTATCTTGAGTTGGAAGGGACCCACAATGGTGCTCATGCATGAAGTACTTGGGTGTTTGTGCATGATATAATTGCCAATGTAAATTCCACAAGTTGGTGATTGCCCAACCTGAATTTGTACCATCCATCGCATAATGGGTTGAAGTCTTGGTGACAGTTTTCCTCCTGTCACCAGAGGTTTCAAACTCGATTTCTTCGTGGTCACTGTGGCCAGGACAGCCACTAATCACAAGAACCTCTCTGTTAACAAGCAACAAACCAGGGAGGGCACATTCCCCAGTGGGCTCCCTCAGCACCTGCACCATGTGGTTCTCATCCAGATGCTTTAGGGATCTTCTGGACCTGCTTGTACTACCTGTGTGGTGTTCTCAGTTAACACACCCCATCAGGTAGCTTTCCTCAAATCCAGTGGGCAAAATACAAGTGAAACCGGGAGGAATTTCACTTTATTTCACAATATTTCACTTCCTCTTTCACAATTAGGAAGAATTATGTTTAATGTCACTCAGAGTTCTAGGGTGGAGTTTTTCAAGGCAGTTGTTTAATGTCTGCAGACAAAATCCTCCACTGGCAGTTCTTTGCACAAGGCTCCGTTGCAGCACAGACATTGTGGTAATGAGATGAGACTTATTATGAGACTGAAATTAATTTCTTTGTTAAATTTATCTGTATAGAGCAGTTATAAAATTCCTTACAGCAATCAAGATCCTGGTAGCTTGCCAGCTTTTTTTTTAACAGATAAGCAGTTCGGAAATAATTATTTTCCAATACTGTCATTGAAGTTGAGAACATTTTTGTTCCTCCTACTCTTTCAGCTTTCTTTTTAATTAAGGGTGGGGAGGGGGCACATTTCTAGAAATGTGTAATGAACAAGCTGTGAATACCAAGTGTGAATATTGTACTTCTCTCTCCTTTAAAGTGTTCCTGTGAGACATTGCAACACTTAAGCAGAACAACTTCTGTACTGTTCTATTCTATTTTTAGTGATACTTGAGGTATGTTGTAACCCATATATACAGTGCTCTTAAGTAAATCTATCCATGTGTTATATGCATCTTTTTATTTAGCTGGGAAAGAACATCTATGCTCTAAAATTATGTGAAAACTAAAATTATGGAAAACTAATTATTGGACATGTTAAAATGCATTTCACATCTCTAATCAAGGTGGTCGTACCTCAATGCAAATTAGAGAAGGGATTGTAAAGAGCACATTACATCCTCATGGGGTTTTCCTGTGGTTTTTAAACCAAGATCCTACCCCAGTTGCTGTGTGGACCATAAGGTCACTCTGAGGTGCTGAGAGGAAAACTGGCCTGCCTCTGCCAGACTGGAAGGGGTAAAAGAAGGGATAAAAAAAGAAGACCAAGTAGGACATTGAAATCTGCAGGCTGTTACTTCTCAAGTTCAGTTACAACCTACTGAATTTTTTTACTACTTTTTTTTCCCTCTGTGTGGACAAAAGAGAACTGTGGGTAAGTTAGAAAAATTACTTGGGCGGCCTGTCGGTTTCTAAACTTAGTAACTTCTTAAAATATATCCCCGAAGTCAAGAATAAAAGGTTTTTATGAGAGCAACAGAATTACAGGTAGTATGTGATAGTGATTGATGAAATGGAGTGGGAAACAAAGCAAACAAAATAACTTTACTATCTTTGTTCTTTTTTCCTCTCATTTAGTTAAGAATGCTTTGGATTATTTGTAATGCAGTAGCTTTCAGAAGCAATGACTAAGTGTGGCAGTTAATAAGACATTATTAACAAGAAAAATAATTTAGAAATATTATCGATGCAATTGTATAGAGGCACCCATTATTTGGATTTTGCATTTCATTGGCAGAGCCAGCAAGGACAGGCCTCTCTACCCAACAGCCCTAGAATTGTTCTGGGCTGGCTTCAGAAGGAATTTTCCAGAAGAAATATTTCTGTGTGGATCTTGTGCTATAGAATTGAAATTCAGCCTTACTTTTCAAATTACAGGTCCGTAAAGACATAGAATAGCCAAAAATATGAAAAATGGACCGGAAAAGAAGTCAAGGCAGGCTCCAGCCAACGTGATGTGGGTTTGACCACATTAAATAGGCTGGTAAATTTCTTGATATTTTCCATTCCTATATTAAATCCAGGAGCACCCTTGAGTCCCTAAGATGCATGAGTGGGCGTCTTCTTCCGTCTCAGTGTTCCCTGAGCTGAGGAATAAGATCTACACTATGTCCTTCTAAAACACCCTTAATTCACATTAAAGACTCCAGAGCACTGGATCAGAAACTTCAAAGTAATCCCTGTTTTTTTTTCTGCATCGCAGTCTGCCTTTGGGATTTAACTGTCATTTCCCCCTTGCATATCTGCCATTCCAAAACCGGCACGTAACTCTTCTTTCCAGAAGAATTACCTGTACGAAAATGATCCTGCCAGTTCTGAACAGCTCTGTGGTCAGATGCCACACACACCTTTCCCACTGGCACACTCCAGTCGCTCTGTTGTAAGTCTCAGTGGGTATTTATTACAGTGGAACAGCTGTAAAGAATTAACTACCCTGACTCTTAAACCATTTAGTTTATAGAGATGCATTGTTTTGCAGGACATAAAGTTGTAGCTTCTTTAACATGGCAAAGGATAAGAGAGGAGGGAGAAGATGCAGGCAGGAGATGGGAAGTGAACTGTCCAAGGAGCAGCCACTGGCTTTGCCTTCTGCAGGACTGCTCAGATACCAAGGGGGTTGTGTCAGTGACAGCAAGGGTGCAGTGCTGGCACCTGGTAGGACACCCTTCCCCTGGGAGGGAGATGGGAAAGAGAAGCATCATTGGCAACATGCAGAGCCTGAAGGGCAGGCAGAGGGTCACAAAGTGGCTTTGGGGAGAAGCTGACGGATATTAGGGTGTTTTTGAGAGGTGGGTGCTGGTGGAGAGTGTGCTGTGCACTCAGGAGGGATTGAGGCTTCACGGAAAACACGGCATGAGAAAGAGCAGTGCAGGAAAACAGAGCGGACACGGGTAGGCCTGAGCAGAGAACTGCAGTGATGATTGAGTGGTGCAGTGATGTGGTCAGTGAACTTACCACACTATGTGCATAAGTTAAGCTGCAGAACTGGGCTGGTGAAAAACAGATTTCCAGGCAGGTGAGAGAGATTTTTAGATGAAAAGTGCAGCAGAGTAAGACTGCATCTAAAAACTCCTTTTGTCTCCCGTGTAGTTTGTGAACTAGTGATGTGCAGTACGAGAGACACTGCATGTGGGTCACCCTGGGGGCTTGCAAGTGCCTCTGGTCTCTGTGTGTGTTCACAGCTGCCTTGGCTTGGGAAGTCAGCAGGAGTGTTCAGACTACAAGCTATTCTGTTTCTGGCAGGCTGTATCTCCTTGCTGATGGCTTCCTTAGCCAGGGCAATAAACACAAGCAGGAATGCAGATGGAGGCAGTCAGTCTTTGGCCTGACCATAAGACTTTCTCAGCTGTAAGAATAATTTCAGAAGAGCAGACTAAGGGAAATATTTTTTGCTTAATAGGTTACAGCATCTCATCAGTCACATACCACACAACACACAATTTTATAAACTGTTGCACTTTGCCTGGATATAAATGGATTGTAACTGATAACCCATAAAAAATTAATAGTTTGCTGTAAGTTTTTTTAATGGAGTAAAAAATATTGCAGTAATGAAAAAGCTGACATTTTAAGGACTGCTAGAGCAGCAGATTCATCAGGAGAATGTGCTAGCAGAACAGCTACATATATTCTTTGCTATGTATGACAGACCTATCATCAGGAGACAGAAAATGTTTACAGAATAAGGATAATCAAAAATTGGGGGTAACCAAAAGTCCAGGAAATGGAAATTGGGACTACATGAATTTGTAAGAGATTGAGATTGAAGGGGGAAAATAAAGTGTTATCTAAAAAATGATTGAAAGCCGGTACTTTGGCAGAGTTTCATTCCTGGGTGCTCTTGGTCTGTTCATTAGTTTGTATGATAGATACTATGCCAAATGGTCTCACCATAGGGCTGCATGATCAAAGCAAAGAGCTGAGCCTGAGCTGTTTTATTGCCTTTTGCTCTTTGAGTATTTCATTGGCCATTTTCCATTCAATTAGATGGGATTTTTATAAACCTCAAAGTCGTTTCATTTTCATGACTCCTGCTTTCCTCTGCCCTACAGGAGAGGTGTAACCATTTCCTCATGACAGAAGGAATCACGGGGGAAGTGAAACAATGCATGGCCTAATCAATATTGGTAAGTGAATGCCATTGACTAATTGATCTGTGTCCTCCACAGAATTTTTCATTGCAGCCTGTTACCATAATGAGTGGTCTGCACAGCAGAGCTACTCTAAACAGAAGATAAAGGCTTCTGGTGAAATTTAGCCTTTTCAAATGTAAAAGTACTGAAAATACTGGAGCCAAGGGCTATTTGTTTTTTATTAGATGCAGCTGTCTTTCTAAATCGGCACCAGTACTTCCTTAAATTAAGATATGCAGTAAACACTGGAATTATTATTGACATTGTTTAACTCTAGCACAGGTAGTTATCTCTGTCCCCCTTTGTTATTTCTGAGGACTTGTTTACTGAGTTCAACAGTAAAATCCCATCAATAATTAAATGTTAATTTTCTTCAGAGAGAAAAAATAAGGTAAACAGTATTTTCTTAGGTAATTCATGGTTATGAATTGAATGACTTACTTAAAATCAATGTTTATAAATAATGAATAGGATTCTCTTCAAGCCACCCTATAAATACTAAGCTGATTGAAAGAAACAGAGAACATACTAATGGAAATATGTCTTTAGGCAGTGGTAAGATCTTTGTGTGTATGTTCCAATTTATATGAAATTGATTTCACACTTTCACTGGTGAATGAAGCCTTGTATCAATCAACTGAACACACACACGAGCAGGTGTTCTCATAACTTCCCTCTTGCTCAGGTGCTGCTCAAGGCCCCCATTGCAAGGGTCTGTCTGACATCCCTTTGCCATGCAAACGTCCTGCATGTCTTTGTGGGATTAGGACCCTAGTTCCCAACTGTTGGTTCAGGCAGCTCCTTCTACACTGTATATGTCCCACCAGGTCCTCTTGTTGTGCTGAATCTGCACGTGTGCCCTGCATCAGGGTGGCACCTTGTCTGACTGAGGCAGAGAAGGCACTACCCAGTTACTGCTGGCAGACAGTGGCTGTGTTGGAAGCAACTTATTTTATAAGGGCAGGAGGAAGGATGAAATTGTTACGTGTTTATGGCGTAGAGTTAAGCAATTTTGCCCTTAGGTGACCCAAGTAACTTTTGTTTATTACATTAGGCATAAGAGATGGTGCAAATCTGGTCAGGAGGTTCTTCTGTCTTCCCTTCTCTGTATCCTCATTCCAACCCCCCAAAGAAATCAAGTAGTATTACCTAAGGAATAAACCAAATAGCAAATTGAATAGGTACATTTTCCTCAGCTGTATATGCACAAATCTTGCCAACATGTCTGATTGCGTTACTTGAATCAATGTAAAACTAAATGCAGGGAAAATGATTCCTAACTGGCCCCGATCAGCGTAATGTGTGGAACAGCCTGTGCTGTCAAAGAGGGGGAGTCACATGTGGCAGCCTTTGAAGCCAAGTACAGTTCATCTCCTGGAACCTGCAGCAGCTTTCCTCGGAGAAAGTGAAACAAATACTCTGTTTTCTGAGGTAATTTATCTTTACAACTGAAGGTGTATGATATGTAAACCTGGGGGGAAGCTGGCCAAGGACTTCTGCTCAGGAGCTGGCTGAGCATCAGTCGGTGGGCGGTGAGCGACTGTTTTTTTTCCCGGTTCTCTCTCTCCCTATCCCACTGTTGGGGGGAGTGAGGGAGCGGCCCTGTGATGTTTAGCTGCCTGCTGGGTTAAGTCCCAACAAAGGTGAAGGGCCTTTCTTTGTCTTTCAAGAAGGAATTAAAAGCTGGAGAGAAAATGTGAATCCCTAGAGATGGGAACTGTGGTGTTCAGCACTGGGGGCCTGCTTTCGGCTGTGGAAGTAGATGGTTGGTTAGGAGGGAGTATCATCTCTGAAACAGTGAAGATGACTGAAGTGTGGGGTGATGTATCATGGATGAAGAAGGAGTTTCTATGTTCTGGCTGCAGTGATCCTGAAGCTCTGAGAAGGGGGTGAAGTGTTAAAATGAGGTCTGAAAGCAGCAATAATACTGAGACCTGCTGAACAATGCAGTATTGAAGGAAGGCAATAAATTGCATAAGGTAATGAACAGATTTAGAGACTTGGAAAATGGTGAAGAAGAAAAATGCATTTAGGTTAAAAACAAGCAATGAGTTTCTGGATGAGTATGAACATACATCCTACCCAAGGGAGAGGTTGGGAACACTGTGTGAGTGCCTGCTATTAAGACCAATCTCTGACTTGGAAACCCTTTGGAAGTGATGTTAGGCTTAATTATGTGAATGCTCTGGCTGTTTTACTAAAAAGTTTCAGCACAGTTTGTGAAACACTCACTCCAGAAATCACTTCAGACATGAAGTGCTCCAAACTCTCATCAGTCTGTGAATTTTGAATGTGCCAGGCAGTGCTGAGCCTGTCCCTTGGGTGAGCATGTGGGCCTTGGCCTGCAGGGTTCATTAATTGAAGAGAGGACTGATAAAAACATCTGTGGAGAAAATGCACCGAAAACCAGTGGGCTTGATAGTCTGTGTTTTCACAATATACTTGTAGAATGAGGTAGGGTGGACACATAAGTAGCAGTGCTAATTCCGGATTCCCTTCCTGCACTGATTTTTGCCTTAGAGTATTATATGAAAAGACATCTTGGGAAAGTTGGCATGTGAAGATAGGCAGCCTTGTGCTGTTATTAGGTGCTCAGAAGATATTCTCAGTCTTCTAAGGAGCAATAGCATATGGTATAAAACAATAAAAGAGCAGTTCCAGACAGGCTTGGGAGTCACTGCGAGTAAATGAAGTGGGCTGAGCAGAGCCACAGAGAAATGGCAGACAGGAGAGAGTAACACAAGCTATAGGAAGTTGATGTAAGGACCAGAGGAGAGATATCAGTTATGAAAAACAGAGATGAAGATCTCTGTTGGAGCCTGGGTTTGGTGAGTATTCCCTTTGGTGAGCCAGAGTTGGAGCAGTGTCTCCTAGTGCAAGAGCCAAACCAGTGAGTGAGGCTTTGGGGTATGAGGATTTGGAGGTGGGAAGCTGAGGTCACCTGGAGGTAGTATCCCAAGAATGTGATATGATCTCAACTGGAGTGACTTTGCAATGGCGAAGAAGTTTTGTTAAAACTAACAATATATATCTCGTTTTCAAATGTTATACAGATGTTTTCTCCTCAGGATGTTGCTTACCAGTTGATATCTGCTCATTTCTTTCTTTGCCTGGAATATTCTTCAGTAGTACTCCATCTTTTGCTTTTGTCTTTTCCAAAAGTGGAATTACAGAGACATGACTGACTCTTTCCATAGGTAAAAGCAGATCCTATTTCTATTCCAAAGTATCATATTACTGATTTGGATCATTTTTGCTCTGATCTCTTTCTCATCTTTAACTGAAAGCTCTCAAGGACAAGTGTTTTTCTTAAGTAGTAATTATTGTATGATTCTTAATCATTACTACTAATTACATCCTTTTCAAGCATGGAATTTCTCAGCACCTTCATGCAGAGGTCAGTAGGAGGGTTACAGCATGATTGTTCTCTGAAGTGAAGCACTTCTGTGATTTCCATTTTCAAAGCATTGAAGCTGAACTAAAAGTTAGGCCTCTATTTTCTGTCATTGCACTTCCTTTCACTTCAGTGGCAACTAAGCATGTGACAGCTATGGCCCCAAACCTTGAGGACTGTTAACACACATCTTGTCTTAGTGACTCAGCCTTTTTAGTTTATTTATTTGCCTCTCTCGCACCTTTTTAATAAGCTGCATTTCTTTCAAAGGGAAAAAATACCAAACCCATACACTGCTATCAAACACAGAGGAATGCCAAGTGAAATTTTCAGAGAAGCAGAGCACAGGCATCCCCATCTTTTAGATCACTGAAAGATCAATTTTGTTACTTGATAAAGGGTAATATCATCAACTACCAGATATACCAATGAGATAATGCTATGCTCTGAGACAGCCACCTCTTCCTTAGGAAAGGCATGGGGGAAAAGGACATTGTCACATCAGCTTTCCTGTAGGTAAACTAGAAAATAAACTGTCGTGAAATTTGTCTCTCATAGAAATAGGAGGCAGGATGCTTGTGTGTGTGATATATCAAACCGGGCTCAGTGCAGAACAGTGGGTTGTGTCTGGGGTAATGTGGTTCTGCAGCACTTGTTGAGTGCAATCAACAAATCACTGAAGGTGATCTCAGAATCTCTCTCTCTCCATTAAGGATGCTCTGGAAGAAAGCCATTTTTCTCCCATTTTTTCCAGGGAGAATGAGGCTCAAGCCTTTATCTCCTCGTGCATACTTTTTACTGTCGTGATTTTTGTTTCCCTCTGGTCTCAGACAAACAAGGTTTTATGTGCCCACGCAGGGGAACCATCATGGTGGGAAATGACTCCATCAACCTCTCCTTACCCACCCCACACACTGTATTTTCCAAAGGCTCCTCTGCAGTGTGTCCCAGAAGCTGACAGAGGGGGAGGAGTACAATTGTCACCCCGGCAGAAATCATGGCTACGTCAGGCTCTGATGTTGTGGCTGGTAAGGGAGTTTTTGTGGCCATTTCACTCTGCTGTACCCAGCAGCTGCTGCCTCAGTTCTGCCTGCAGTCAGCTCTGCAGCACCCAACCTTATGGGAGGGATTGCAGAACTGAAGGAAAAAACATGTTTTCCCCTCTCTCCCAAGGCAGACTGGGATAGAAGTTGACTAAAACTGAAGAATCCCAGGCAGATTGCCTCAAATGTCTTCACTGCTCAGTTGTTCAGTATTCAGCTTATTTCACTGGCAGGGCCAGAATCACTGTCCTCCCCCATCCCATCAGCAAAAGCAATTTGTCTAAATGTGAATTAAGGTGGGGGGAAAAAAAAGGCTTTTAAATGTTTGTTTTACAGGAAAGTGGACACAAAAGGCCACAAGCATATTTTTCACCTTAACAAGTTACCTCTCAACTAAAATTATTTTATTTGTTAATGTTGTTTTTTTTTTTTAATCTGGGAATCTATTTTGTTCGAGCGGTTTGTAGCCCTGAGAGGGATTTGCAATGCAGCTGCAGAAAACACCAACCACAGTCTAATGGTGTGTCAAAGAACATAATTAGATATTAAGACAGATG